ACTTACCAATCAGGTTGAGCGCGCAGCGCTGAGCATAGGCAATGCTCTGTCATCTGGCTGTCTCATGTGGTCTTCCAGACTAAATAGGAGTGACTAATGTGATACGTGAACTGTGGACTCAATCTAGTAGAGTCCGAGCTCTAGGAAGCACTCGTATGAGCCTGCGGCAGGCGCCGCTTCCATCCCCTCTTCTCATCCTTTCCTCTTTTGTTGTTTGTTGACCCGCTCTCTTGTTAGCTCCGATTTGCGGGCTCAGTACAAGACTATAGTTGTCCTATTGGATGACTGAGATCAGTGATTAGCTGAGATAAGGTGGAGAGATGAGACACATAGTGACTACTGACAATGGGTGGTGGTAGAGTAGATCTTTAGAGAGAGGGGGGGGAGGTTTAGTTGGCATTCTTGGGAGAAACTGGACGGAAGCAGAGCTTCAGTGAGGACATGATCTTTGCAGGAAAAGGCCAGTTACTGGCTGAAGTCAGTGTTAACTTTCACTCTCAAGGATTGAAAATTGTTTTGCGAGCGTGCTAACCCGTGTATCTTGTGGCTAGTGTAAGAGGGACTAGTGAAGGCTTGCATGGCTTCTCGGGGGGGGAGGAGTGATCGGTCTCGCAAAGCGTTTTGACTCAGACTGAATCGCCCCTGCCCCTGATCATCATATGTGTTCTTGATAATGCTTAATCGGCAGCAAAGGAAAAGCGGGGGGCGATGACGGGTTAAGAGAAGGGAAATCTCATGTCATGTCGAATAACTGTTGTGAATAAAACGTTTGGGTTGTTGGCTGTGCGGGAAAAAACGGTTGAGCAATCTCTCTTCACTCTCATAGGTCGAGGCTACGGCGGGCTACCAAAGGACAACCCAAAGCAGCTATGGCTGCCCTAGCTCAGGCCGCCATGCCTGACACTGCCTCAAAGCTTTTTGGTGTAGCTCAACCCCAGCTGGGGCCTTCCTGCTGCAGCGCCCACCAAGGTGATGAAGATGGCTGCCACCATAGCCAGGTAAGTACCTCTGGCGCTCCTCCCCCTTTCTGTCCTTCTTCCTCCTTCGAGTCCTTGCTTCTTCCCCAACAGCACTGCTCCAAGCTAGCGCTGCTCCAGCCAGCGCTCCAACCAGTGTGTCGCCAAACATGCACACCAACAACGAGGCTGGGCTCTTCGCCCGGCCTGGAGATATAGCGGCCTGCTTGCCTCTTGGGCGGTGACTTCCAGGCCGCTCAGCCTTCCCAGCAACGGGTACCTCCTCCCTTTCGGAGGGAAACATCATTGCAGACTCTGATATTGCCCGTACAGGCCCTAGACTCAGACGAGTTGGACTGGTACCCGCCTAGACCTAGCATACAACTACTAGGCCTCTCAAAATGCCACTTTTGTCTTCTTCTGCTCGGCCTCCAGTACCCGCACATCTAGCTCTTCAGGGTGCGGTACCGACCTACCTGCTACTTGAGTGTTTTCCCCCGATGCAATCCCTTAATGTCACGGCCACAGGTAAGTACCGTCCCTAAGAGCCCAACGAAAGAACAAGTGCTCTTACGGACCACGCACACACTCAAGCCAACCAGCACTCAGACAGACATGCAGTTCAGCAAGCGTGCACACACACAGACTTAGTAGCAACCGGGAAACTGAACAAGGCATTCAGTCCATGAGCAAAAGTCAGAAATCAGTCGTGGGTTTCAGTCCATGTTTGGTCGGGTCATCACAAATCAATCAATCAATAAAAAAACTGCAAGGAAAATGACTCTAACCAAAAGCAGAATTGCAATCAATAAATGAGCGATAGCGAACTTCAGAAACCAAGCAGCATCATACACATGAGACCAGATAGTTGTGACCTCGAACCAAAAGCAGAATTGCATCACGAGTCCCACCAAATAATTGTACAGCAAAAACTCATAAGTGACAATGTTCGAGTAGTCTCATCATCATCAACAAAGAACCAATGTCGACATCCTATCTGGCGCTCGGCGCCCAGACTACAAATGGCAGATCCTATCTAGCCTATCTACAATGCCGCTGGTAACGTCAACAGCTTCCCAAAGTACGATCAGATCTAGGCTAATGCCGTGCACTTCAAGCACCAGGTATGTCTCTCGTATCACTCACAACCTCGTTCCCCAACTCACAGATGCCACATGCACCCAAGGACCACCATGCACGCCATCCAGCATACAGCAGCGCAGGTCGGCTATGGCTGCCTGCTCCTTCCAGCTCGCCCGTGAGCACGTGAGTGTTGGCCAGCGTTAGCGCAGCAGCGCTTGCGCAGCATGCAGCCAGTGCCCGAATGTCAAATGCGTGGGCAGGCCCTTCCCTATATCGAAGTGGCCTGCTGCTGCGTGTCGTAATGCAGTACTGGGCCCGGCCCAAAAGCTTCCGGTAGGCCCCATGAGGCTGAGCCTCAGTGCAGAGGAAACAGGCCCAGGGCCTTACGAGCGCCCAACCGCCCTCAACCTTTGTTCGGTCCATGTTGTGTATCCGGCTCAGGGCCTGCCTCAGTTACATACGATGAAAGGCAGCTTGGGCCTGGGTGCTTCCAACCAACTGGCGCTGCGCAACTGCCTGAATTTCCCCAGTTGTGTAGTGACCCCAAAAATGGCCTGTAGGCCTCGGTCGAGCCTGCCTTCACTTAGGGCGGCCGACTGTGCTGAAAATAGGGCCCAATAGGGCGTATCAAGGCCTTATGTCTCGCATTCCCTCCTCCATACTTTGCTAGTCCTCTGAGAAGTTCATTCAATCTGGCGCTTTGCTTTCTGCAACAACTTCTCATAGTGGGCGACAACCTGCGGTGCGGTCTGCATCAGCTCCTCCCGTGTGAAGCATCTATCCTCCTTTGGATCAGTGTGATGTCTGAACCGAACTCTGTACCGCAGCTTCGGCTTCGGAGGACGTCACCTTCTTCCACCTCCACCGAACTCTGTACTGCAGCTTCGGCTTCGGTGGACGTCACCTTCTTCCACCTCCACCTCCTTCACCCATCCACCATAGCCAAGTAACTTCACACCTTCTTCCACTTCCGCCTCCTTCACCCATCCACCATAGCCAAGTACCCTCACACATTCTTCCACCTCCACCTCCACCTCCACCTCCACCTCCTCCTTCACCCATCCACCATAGCCAAGTGCCTTCACACCGTCCACCTCCACCTCCTTCACCCATCGACCATAGCCAAGCACCTTCACACCTTCTTCCACCTCCACCTCCTTTACCCATCCACCATAGCCAAATACCTTGACACCTTCTTCCACCTCCACCTCCTTCACCCATCCACCATAGCCAAGCACCTTCACACATTCTTCCACCTCCACCTTCTTCATCCATCCACCATAGCCAAGTACCTTCACATCTTCTTCCACCTCCACCTCCACCCATCCACCATAGCCAAGCACCTTCACACCTTCTTCCACCTCCACCTTCTTCACCCATCCACCATAGCCAAGTACCTTCACATCTTCTTCCACCTCCACCTCCACCCATCCACCATAGCCAAGCACCTTCACACCTTCTTCCAGCTCCACCTCCTTCATCTATCCACCATGGCCTAATACCTTCACACCTTACACCTCCACCTCCTTCACTCATCCACAATAACCAAGTACCTTCCCACCTTCTCCCACCTCCACCTTCACCCATCCGCCATAGCCGAACACCTTCACACCTTCTCTCACTCCCTCTATCACAAATCAATGCCGCGGCCCAAGGCATATAGGGGAGCGAGTCGTCGAAGGGGTCATGGGTAGGACGGCAGGACGGGTAGGGGGTAAGTAGGATTACGCTTAGGGGATCTCTTTCTCCCTCTTCTTCTCTCTCTCTCCTTCTCTCTCTCTCTCTCTCTCTCTCTCTCTCTCTCTCTCTCTCTCTCTCTCTCTCTCTCTCTCTCTCTCTCTCTCTCTCTCNTCTCTCTCTCTCTCTCTCTCTCTCTCTCTCTCTCTCTCTCTCTCTCTCTCTCTCTCTCTCTCTCTCTCTCTCTCTCTCTCTCTCTGTGTGTGTCCTCCTCCTTCCTAGCTTCCAAAAGGCTATCCCTTCCTTCTCCTCCAAATCCCAAGGTCAACCCTTACCCTCACTCCCCTTTTCCTTTGGCATGCAACAAACCCTTCCTTCACTCACTTGTTACATTGTCAGGGTACGAACGGGAAAAGGACTTTGGATCTCACTTGGTGGAAGAAGAGGGCAAGGGGATGTCTGTCGGCCCCTTGTGCCATCAAGAATATAAAGAAAAGGAGAGCTTGACAGGTTTGACGATTGACAAAGTCCGAGAAGGGTTAGAAAAAGTTGCCAAGGAAAAGAGATGTCAGTTGACTCAACCAAAACCCCGAAAGCATGACTAAGAGAAGAGGATGACTTGCATGAAGGAAGGAAATGAGAAGGAAAAGAACCTAAGGACATAGAGACTAGGTATGTGGGAGGGGCTATGTGTTGACCCCAAATGGGGTTGTATGTGCTTTGCATTGTGATTGAGTGTGCATGTGAGTAGCCTTGAGATGTCTTGAGCTGGACTGAACCCGGATATGTCGGGCAACAAAAGGAAAAGAGAGACAAAGCTAAGTAGTTGTGAGCATAACCTTTGCCTATGAATGAAACCCCTTTGTGCATGCTGGTCCAAGTATGGATGAAAAGAAAAAGGGATGGCGTGTATGGTTGAAATGTTGCCAACTGTCAGGCGGTCGAAACAGCCGCCAAGTCCTTTGAGCATGCGGATGGGGACCCCGAAAAGACTAAGGGGTACTTAGGGAAGCAATGAACATGATGTATGATGTATGGAGATAATGAGTGCTAGTGCGTGGGCTGGCTCAGAGGGAGAACAGCGACATCCTCACACCTCGATGAAGCTATGGGACCATTACGTTAGGGAATGGATGCGTGGCCAAGGATGACGCTTCGACCGCCAATAATAGAAGAGAAGTCTCAAAGGATCCCTGGGGCCTGGACTGTCTGAGTATTGGAAATAGTTATTGCCTGCTAACACAACCAAGTATCAAGGAAAGAACGCTTGCGAGAAATCAACAGACTGCCCCACTTGCAAGAAAGTTGAGCTACATCCCTAATATCAAGGCTCTCTCGCTCAATTGCCCACCCCCATCCATCTCAATGCACTAGGTGGCGGTGACCCTGTGACGAATAGCTCCGCCCCCTGAGCATGAGAGTGGACGGAGCCGAGCGAATTGGAACCCGCAGAAGGGTCGATCAGGCTCGAAAGTTTAACAAGGTGAGGCCCTACACCGAACATCTCTATCACGAACAATCGTTTTTGGCATACCAAAGTAAGGCACCCAGTTATCCATGAATAACGTGATGACGTGCTCAGTCCTGACAATCTCTGGCATGACAATTAGTCTAGCATACTTAGTGAACCTATCAACTATGATGAAGATATGCCTCTTGGCACTCTTGCTGGTCACGAGGGTATCCATGAAGTCTATAGAAACACTCTGTCCCGAACCAACAGGAATGGGTAAAGGCTTTAATAACCCAAGCAGAGCTTGAGTCCGCGGCTTATCCTGCTGACAGACTTGGCAAGTCTCAACATAGGTCTTTGCATCGTCAAACATGTTAGGCCACTGGAATCGTTGTACCAAGTTAGCACTAGTCTTCTTGTAGCCAAAATGTCTAGTTGCGTCATGGCATTCACCTGAAAATAAACAACGCAAATCTTCTCTAGATGGAGCTACCAATCTTTTAAACCCAGCCTTCTTAAGAAAGAGCAGCCCGTCCACCATCGAGATACATCGTCAGATAAGCCAAACTCCTTTATCAGCGCACCCAGGTAGTCCGTTCTACGTGACAACGCATCAGTAACCTTGTTATACTCCCCTTTCACGTAGTCTAACTTGAAGTCATACTGATCTATGACTTCAATCCAGCGTTTCAATGCATCAGAGAGAATCGGTTGTGTCTTGATCCACTTGAGTGTTTGATGGTCGGTCCTCAAGTAGAAGAACCTTTCTAACAGATAGTGCCTCCAATGGACAAGTGCCTTGTAAAGGGCGTAGAGTTCCTTTTCGTAGGGGGACTTCGCCAATGTCTTGAATGACATCTTTTTACTCATGTACTCAATCGTCCTTTACTTCTCCCCTTCCTGCTGAGTCAGCACAGCGCCAATGTCGTACTGGCTTGCGTCAGTGTTCACTAAAAATGACCTTTGAGGATCGGGGATCATGAGAACCTCATGATGTGTAAGGGCATTCTTCAATCTCTTGAAAGCAGCCTCACACGCGTCTGTCCATTCCCATGGAGTGTCAAGGCGCGTTAGATCCGTCAAGGGAGATGCGATCGTACTATAGTTTTGTACGAAATTGCGATAATAACCACACATTCCCAAGAATGATCTGACCTCAGTCACAGACTGGGGGCGTGGCCAGTCTCTAATGTTGGCCACCTTCGCATCTTCAGACCTAATCCTTTTCGCGGATACTTCATGACCCAAGTACAAGATTTTAATGCGACCAAACTCACATTTCTCGAAATTTATCTTATACTTGTGCTGTCGGAGGAGAGAAAGCACCTTGTCTACATGCTGAGCATGCTCCTCGACAGTCCTACTGAAGATAAGAACGTCGTCGAGGAGCACGACGATAAACTTATCCAAATAGTTATGGAAGATCCTATTCATGACATGCTGGAATGTACTCGGTGCATTGCAAAGGCCGAAAGGCATCACCACAAACTCGTACAAACTTGCTCTCATCGCTAGCATGTACAATAACGTTGTGCACAACGCAACGGGACTGAGCCCGAACAGCCTGCTACTGACATTCAAGCCTAGACTGCCCTTGGATTTCCTACTACCTGAGAACCAGTTTTCTGCTGCACCAGGACCCTTAGAGTTCGCTTATCGATATGAGTGTCTGATGCAGCAGGCTATTGAACAGATGCAGAAGGCACAAGCGGCGATGATAGAGTCTGAGAACAAGCAACGCCGCCCATCTACATTTCAGGTAGGGGAGAGAGTCTGGCTTAAGTCCTCAGAACTGGGACAGGAGCACGAGAGTTCCCGCAAGCTCATGTCGCAGTACTATGGACCTTGGGAGATCCTAGATGTTGTTGGGGATGAACCGGATGGGCCGTCATATGTTATTCGCATCCCTGGTCACTTACGTACTTACCCTGTGTTTCACGCTTCCAAACTTGCACCTTTCAGGGAAACAAATCAGTTTCCCTCTTGTCGCTCAATGCTGCCCCCAACCATGGACGGAGAGGTCGACATCGACGACAACATGGACCACAAAGAAATGTCGGTTCCAAGATCGACAGGCAGGGGACGTCCTCCGATGTCGAAGCTGCAGTACATAGTTCGGTTCACATCACACTGATCCAAAGGAGGATAGATGGTTCACACGGGAGGAGGTGATGCAGAGCGCACCGTAGGTTGTCACCCACTATGAGAAGTTGCTACAGAAAGGAAAGCCCTAGATTGAATGAACTTCTCAGAGGACTAGCGAAGTATGGAGGAGGGAATGCGAGGCTCAGGGCCTCGATCTGCCCTAGTGGGCCATATTTTCTGCATGGTCGGCCGCCCTAAATGAAGGCAGGCTCGACCCAGGGCCTATAGGCCTGTTTTTGGGTCACCACGCAACTAGGTAAATTCAGGCAGTTGCGGAGCGTCAGTTGGTTGAGAGCGCCCCGGCCCAGGCTGGCTCTTTTGAATGTAACCGAGGCAGGCTCTGAGCCAGATTCACAATATGAACCGAACATAGGCTGCAAGCAGTTGTATACGGGCAACCACCACAGGCCCAGGGCCTGATTCGTTTGGTCTGGGGATCAGCCTCCCTGGGCCTACCGGAAGCTTCTGGGCATGGGCCTAGCGCAACCAAGTTGCACGCAAGGCAGGCAGGCACTTCCATTTAGGAAAGGGCCTGCCCACACATTCGACATTCGGGCACTGGCTGCATGCTACGCAAGCGTTGCTGCGCTAACGCTGGCCAGCGCTCACACGCTCACGGGCAAGCTGGAAGGAGCAGGCAGCTGTAGCCGAGCTGCGCTGCTGTATGCTGGATGGGGCGCATGGTGGTCCTTGGATGCATGTGGCATATGTGAGTTGGGGAACGAGGTTGTGAGTGATACGAGAGACATATCTGGTGCTTGAAGCGTACGACATTGACAAAGATCTGCTCGTACTTCGGGGAGCTATTGACGTCACCAGCGACATTGTAGATAGGCTAGATAGGATATGCCATTTGTAGTTTGGGCGCCGAGCACCAGATAGGATGTCAACATTGTTTTTTTGTTGATGATGATGAGACTACTCGAACATTGTCACTTCTGAGCTTTTGTTGTACTATTCTTTGGTGGGACTCGTGATGCAATTCTGCTTTTGGTTCGAGGTCACGACTATCTCGTCTCATGTATATGATGCTGCTTGGTTTTTGAAGTTCGCTATCGCTCATTTTCCTTGCAGATGTTTGTGGCTGCTGTTTTATGGAGTATGTTTACCCATTTAAAGAATGCGGGCCCAAAGTTCATCTTGTTTAGGGATAATTCCAGGAAATCACAATCCACATGATCATACATTTTTTCAAAGTCAGTAAAGAGGATGGCAACATCGACTCTACGTTGTCTTGCGTACCTGATGGTTTCATTGACTAAGAGTATGTTATCCTGAATGTTTCATTAGGG